GACTAATACTGACCTGTAGAATGCAGAAAGATTTGCTTCTGGATTACTGCTTCCTTCTTCTCTTCGCATATTGACACGCTGCACTGGCCTAGACTGCCTGCCATTCCCATTTGCTTGGAAATTTGGGGGACGCTGGGTCCGCTGCTCTCGAGGACCGTAACGAGACCCCATTAGACTAATGTGGATGACTGAAATGGATGAACAACAAGAAATTGTTGGAATTTACTTAGAGCCCGTAGTAACGTCCAGTTAGAACAGCAGCACTTTACACTCACTTATCGACTAATTACCATTTTTAAAGTGAGAAAATAAAACCTAACAAGTATATCAAATCACATCTAACAGAAAAATATTGTCTAGATCAACGCTTTCGAATTTTTCAACACCTTTGCATTCAATTTACTTTTAATATAAATTTAAAACGATAGCCTTACGATACACGCTACAGTAATTTATAACTAAATTATAATTCAGGCTATTTCTGCTAATCAATTAACACGTTCGTGCTCTTAAAAGTTATAAAAAAATTGAAACTTGTTAAGAATCTTCACAAACCAAGTGATATACACACAAAATGGAAATCTGTATAATGTTGTGCTAACGATCACTTCAAAATATTACAACAATAACCCAATAATCAAAAACTAAACTGACAGTAAACAACATCATCAAAGACCACAGAACTCACTCAGTTACTTTTAAAGTACCCTCCCTCGAAGTAATCGAACTATAGCAGAACAAGGTGCATTCAAGCTACTTAACTACCTCCTTTACAGCAAACGCACTTCAAACCACGCAATTTAAAACACCCACAATCAAAATTCCAAACGACTCCAATAAATTGAAACAGTTTATTTTCGAAGCAAAAATATCAGGAATCAAAAAGATAAAAACGTTATGTGAGGAATACTCCCCCAACGCAATCTAAAAGTATAATAAACATTTTCAAGGCTCAATCCCACCAATACTTTAAAAAGAAAAAAAAGCAGAGAAACAAACAAGGTTAGAAGGAAACCATTAAAAACTTTCATACTACACCATCTTAAATATAAGACAAGTGTCTTCGTACATTTTTTAAAATTTTCGTGAGGAACAATAAAGTAGCACATGGAGGAGTAAAAAAAGTATTTTCAACCAAGAATCACTTAAAAAGGACTAAAAACGAAAAGAGTTCCCTTCAAGACTTCAGCATCGACTAGCTGCTAAACGAACCACCAAATAACTTTAAAATATCCAGAGACCGTTAAACTTCAAGATTTTTTCAAAGAATATGGTTCCTGGTGGGAACTAGCATTCCAGAAATACATGTATTTTCTTCTGAGTCTTGTTGAAGGTAATCCTCAATGGAGAGTTACTCGAAGTGTTTATCAGTAAACACTTGTGCGATGATAAATTCTCACACCTAACTCACATACACGTCTACAGTTGTTCCAACAATAAAAATAGAAAAAAAATTTTTCTTTTTTTTGAGGAAGGAAAAAAAATATTACACGTTGTTTAATCGACGATTACGTTTCTTCTTCTACTGTTATAACAAAATAAAAAATTTTCTGTTTTCATTTCCCCCTTCATTTCTCAGCATCATCATCGTCATGGCTGTTGTCATCATCATCGTGCCAACATATACTGCTTGTTTCGAATAAAAACAATTTTTTTTTTTTAAACTCAGAAAACCAATAATACAACTATGGTTATCAAATTTGTATACCGAACAAAACCAAAATGAGCCAGAACATTGTTTTAAGCTATTAGATAGAGATAAAATAATGCATAATGAAAACAGCAATGAATCTAGCGGCAGAAAAAAAAAAAATCAATTCAACTTATGCGCTATAAACAAAACTGCACTCAGCTGCAAAACAGCGTTCATATAGACTTATTTCGCAAGCAAAACAGTCTTACCTCATTAAGGGAAACACGCGACGACGTTCTTGTTAAGACCTGAAAACCACCTCTTAGCAGCTCTATACCCGGCAGTCCCGCTACGCAACAGACGCCCACAGTTGCAGATTGATTGCCTTACGAGTGCGCTATACTCCTCTATAAAACTATGAATGAATAATTAGGGTTCCTTGAGCTTTTCAAATCCGTTCTTTTGCCCTTTAAATTTATGCTTTGACACACTCTCTCTTTTTTTTTCTTAGCGATCTTTCATGAAATTTTATTCTACTATTCTAGGACTGGTGTAACTCACATCAAATAGTTGTTATTACACGAGATATTTTATGTAATTTGATCGATGGTTTCAACGGTCACAAGCTTAAATTCTATTTTTAGAAAATTAAACTTTTTTTTT